GAATAATATTCATACGCAAGCCCAGATCCTTCGTATTTTCTATAAAATGGTTGTCAACAAATCTCATTCTGTGGCTCCATGGTTCATTCACACACCTGGCGGCTAATGAATGAACTGCAAGAATAACCTTTATGCACAGGCACTTACGATCACTCTTATTTTCCTATAATTTTCAAGGAGACTGAGAAAAAGCCGAGTCATCAGGAAGGATTTCTGGCGATCTTTTTCGTCACAATCCACCGACCACACACAGGCAAACACGCCTGTCCCTGGTGCTGAACACCATCCGCCGACCACACACAGGCAAACACGCCTGTCCCTGGTGCTGAACACCATCCGCCGACCACACACAGGCAAACACGCCTGTCCCTGGTGCTGAACACCATCCGCCGACCACACACAGGCAAACACGCGTATTTGAAGTTTGGCTGAATATTTTGTACCTCAAAATATCACAGTTACTTTTCTGTTTTACACATCGTGCCCATCGCGCTTAGCCTGGGTACCATCCCCAGTAGTATATTCGCAAACTCTATAACTGGTTATAGAGTTTGCGAATATACTACTGGGGATGGTACCCAGGCTACATCGCGCTCACACCGAAGTAACAATACCGAACAGTAGAACGGCTGGGGAATCTACATTCGTCAGCGACGCTTTCGAATTCCCATGATGCGTTGCGTTCGATCCATCCGTTAGCAGTTTGAGTACAGGCGGTAGTTTGCATTGGATAAGAAATAGTGTATTATCGCTTGGCCTTGTAGTATTCTTTATCAGCTTCATCTCATACCAATACGTCTTACGTACTTGACGTTTGACCAACCATGGATGATGACGAGATTTGGAGCGCGACGAAAACCAATGGAAGAGGCCGGGGTAGAGGACGGGGTCGTGGTCGGGGAGCTGCTGTCGTAGCGCGCGCCGAAGATCCCGACACTGTCCGTCGGCCGTTAGGGCGGATACCTAACAGTGAAAAGACACCTCTCCTCATCCCTTCCTGTCCGTTTGAAACGAGTCCGAGTGACGACGGTCCACCGAACTCAACGTTGGTAGAAGCGGTACAGCGGCTGTCTCTACAGGCAGCGACAGCAGACCGGCACGCCAGCACAGCAGGCAGCGGCGACAGCACAAACGCCCAGCCGCTAATTGTCACCAACTTCATACGGTTTGTTTATCTGCAAGACTTAGACTTAGACTTAGGACCTCCTGCATCTTTGACGCATGAGGCAGTCAAAGCAGCCCAGCTTCCTCTGTCAGCAGCCAGCATCAAGGCTTCCTTCCAGCTCATGCTGACTGCCTGAAGGTCCCTCTCCACTGTCTGTCGCCAGTTCATCCTTGGGCGCCCCCCTCCACTAAATTGCTCTCTAGGTGTACTAAACCGAATAAGAAAAGCATCTTTTTCTTCCACTTAATTTTGATGAGGATAATCATGAAGCAAAACAGTTAACGTTATAACGTGAAGATAAGTTTGTCTATAAAAAGCCAGACATATGATTTAATAATGTTAAGGAAGTTCAGAATCTGTCTTATCCTGGTATCAGCCATTGGGGTACTTTGCACTAGGGGTGAAACGTCGTTAGCTTTATCATGCCATTCTTACGTATAGGTTCACTCCGCCCGAGAACTGGCTACTGTACGTGTACGATGTGTCCTTCACACCGGAAGTAGACAACCGGAAGAGGCGGCGTTCGTTTATCGACCAGTTATTCGGTCCGCGCGCCGCCAACTACACTTGGTTGTTCGACGGCTTCAAGATGCTTTACGTCACAACAAGGTAACAGATATTGTTATTATAAATGCAGGATAAGACACTAATGGCATTCAGTTCTTCAGATCTTTTTTATTATTTCCAGACGTGCTATTCATAATATCAGTAAATATATGGAGTTGGCTCTGTTTTGTCAAGGCAGTAAGTTTGACTTATGTGATAGTCTGAGAGAATCGTTAACCCAGTGAGTGCGTCGATTGTCCACTCCATCTATTGAATCACAAACCTGTTGACTCTGTTCGTGATTTCTTCATCCTAACAGATGCCACGAACACTCTCTATTGTTACACAGGCTGAGCCCTACTCAGAAGACACTGGAGAGGGATGTAAAAGACTGGAGCGGGAAGAGGTACCGGGCCAAGTTCATGTTGACCCGAGAGATGGGACCGACAGACCCGCAAGCCACGCAGTTTTACAACCTAGTCTTCAGGTTCGGGTCTTCCTTTTCATTCTCACAAATGGGGTTCAATCGGTGCACAGAAAGGGACAAGTGTATCTTCATTTGTACGAACATCTTTCCAGGTAACGTTTCCTAACCCTGGCAAATTGGCAACTTTATATTTAGCTAGCCAATCGTAAGCGTATTCAGAGTCATCACTTGATTTAAATCTATGCTGTTATACCCAGGCATTGTTTGTTGGACAAGCTTGGGTACAAGCAGATCCGGCGGTACTTCTACTGCCAGGAGGACTCGGTGCCGGTACCGCAGCACAAACTGAGCGTGATGCCAGGCTTTGACACCGCCATCACGTACCATCAGGGCGGCTTCATGCTGTCCGTGGACCTGTCCTACAAGGTCCTCCGGGAACAAACAGCTTATGACCGCATGTACGCCATCTACCTGAAGAAAGGCAAAGGTAGGGATATAGATATTTGCCCACATGATACCAATAAACATTTGGTATCACGGCCCACATTGGTATCACGGCCCACATTTACATTTGGTATGATGTGGGCCGATTCGCAATTTCACACGTTTCGCCGCGGAGCTTCAAGGTTTCGCCGTCGATCATCTTTGAGACAACTGGAACCAATCAGCAATGAAGTGTCCTATAAATACACAATGTATGTCATGACATTTTCCCGTCAACAAATCATAACATTTTTCCGTAAAATGGTATTGATTCGCTACGTACTATGGTTTGTTTTCCGTTGTAACTTACATCAATCGTACTGTGTTTTACGACGCTTACAAAGTTGGTTTATTTACGTGACGATTTTAATTATTTGATGCGTTAACCGTGACCAGATAAATCTTTGCCATAGTTTTACAAACAAAAACACCATTTTCATGACCATTAGGAGACTATAAGAGAGACATGTGCCGGGAAATGCTGGGGAAGGTTGTGACCACACGCTATAACAACAAGAGCTACACCGTCGACGACATCGACTTCGACCGGAACCCAGACAGCACGTTCGAAAAGGAAGGTCAAAAGATCTCGTTCGCAGAGTACTATGCGCAGACCTACAACAGGAAAATATCAGACGTGCATCAGCCGCTCCTTGTCAGCAGGAGGAGAAAGAGACGCCCGGGGATGTCTGAAAATGACGAGTTTGTCTACCTCGTGCCCGAGCTGTGCTACATGACGAATATTGAGGACACCATGCGGCAGGATTTCCGCGTCATGCAGGACTTGGCCACTCACACCCGCCCCGACCCCGCCAAGCGGGCCAAGATGGTGCTGGATCTGGTAAAGAAGCTCAACAGAACCCGAGCCACGAGGAACGAGATGGAGAAGTGGGGCATGAAGGTTGAGCCCAAACTGCTAAACGCCCCGCGACTGGATCTGGGGAGGCAGACCATCCTCATCGACGGGCAGCGGTGCGATCCGGGCGCTAAAGCGGAGTGGTCGGGGCACCTGCGGCGGACCCAGGTCAAAGGCCTGCCGGTGTTGAAGACCTGGTTCGTGGTGTGCCCCGAGGCCATCATGGAGGCTGCCTCCATATTCATCGGGAGCTTTAAACAGGTTAGAACCCGTGAAAAAGTGTGTGAACATGCTCTATGAACATAATCTTACGTTATTGCGTGGTGACAGGGAGTCTCTTTCATTGAAAATAAGCAATGGCTCGTTCCCGAGTATAACGCCATTATTAACGGTTCCTTGAATTTCTTACACAACCAAGAGTTAGAATACTAGTATATTCACTGCCTGCAGAATTTACTGTCTCCAGAACAGTGCTTTATCAAGATCCATGCTCAGGTACTGTTTTTGAGAGTCCACTCTTATCCAGAACCGTTCATGGCCAAATCTACGTTCTTGGATACGCGGAGACTATCCAGAACCGTGCCTGGTTCATTCTAACCCTAATTCATTCAGACACGGTTCTATATACAATATCAATCAAATATCTTTGATTTTCAGGATGCCCCCAGGATGGGTTTTGAGGTGACGACCGAGAGGATCGCGCGGCTGCCAGATGATCGCGTCATCACGTACATCAGCACCCTGACGCAGCTCGTGCAGGAGGTCAAGGACCTGCAGATGTTGGTCTGCATCGTGCCGAACGACAACAAGGAGCGGTACGACGCCATCAAGAAACTGTGCTACGTGGACTACCCTGTTCCCTGCCAGGTACGGAGTTCATACATAATAAGTAACTGCTTGCTGAAATGAACGCTTTAGGAATACCATAGGTTAAGACACATAAATATAGTAGATGCAATTATACAATATATATTGACTTTATGCATTTAATGAATGCAGAATACATTCATTGAATGTGGAATACATGTATTGACTGCAGAATACATTCATTGAATGCAGAATACATTCATTAAATGTAGAATATTTTCTGCATTTATTGAATGCACATTCAGTAAATGCAGAATACATTCATTGAATGTGAAATACATTCATTGAATGTGAAATACATTCATTGAATGTGAAATACATTCATTGAATGTGAAATACATTCATTGAATGTGAAATACATTCATTGAATGTGAAATACATTCATTGAATGTGAAATGCATTCATTGAATATGAAATACATTCATTGAATGTGAAATACATTAATTGAATGATAGAATTTCTGTTTTTAGTTGAGAACATGTTACAAGTAGAGTCTGCAATGCACTTACATGTACTTACTTACTTACTACAGTCTGCAATAGTATATTCAATTCGCTAGAAAGGGGAGGTACAGCATTACAATATATATTACATACATATGGGTTTAACTGTTTGCAGATTTAAAGGAACATTTGGCTATATATCATTATCATATAGCCAGATGACGTCGACCAATCAAAAGGCTCCATTTCCCCCATAACCCGGGTCATTAATATCCGATATACGGACCTGCGGGTCCGTAACCGACGCTACCATTACATGACAGGGTGGTGTTTTCTTCTAACCTACTTGTAATTCTAAAGACCTTTCTGATAGACTTGTTTATGTAGAGTAGTAAATTAATTTAGTTTTGATAGAACTGCTGAGTTGTCAGATGAAGTAAAAGCAGTGTTTGGGCCAACCGCAGAGATTGATTTGTACAATAGTGGTGGAGAAACAGTTGAGGAATTCGAAATTCAGCGGTAAACTTCAGCGGTAAATTTAGTTCATATCTGTAACTTTCAGCTTTAAATAATTGGTTTGTTGCGATGGGAATTCACTTCAATGCAAGATTAAAAGATCTATATGTTACACAGAAGTTGTTTCCCTTATGTGTCAGCTTGATGACCCTTGATGTACATGCATATGTGACAATGTCTATATGATAATAATGTTAATGACCCGCTTTCCTTCGGTGTATACGGTGTCATAATTCATGGTCGGTTCCTATAACCACCTCATAAACGACCTCGTCCGCTCCGCGGCCTCGGTCGTTCATTCGGTGGTTATAGGAACCGACCATGAATTATGACACCGTATTCACCTCAGGGCGGGTCATTAACCCTATATTGTTTGGCCAAGATTTCGACTCTAAACCTGTTTTAAAGCTGTATCAGCTCTCTGGTACAACACACACATGTCAAAGTTGTACCTGTAGTGTTCAAGCTGTACATGAAACAAAAGTATGATTTTATTATATCCACAATAGTACGGATAAGTCATATCAAAGGATAAAAGACAATAAGGTTCTCTTTTCTGAGTCTTTTTGATCTTCATAGCTACAAATTGGATATTCTTCTAAACATACTTGCTGCTCTCATCAAAAACAAAGCGGCTAACTTTTTTCAATATATATCCATTGCCACCAGGTGATTACACGTGGAAAGCTGAGGGGCAACACACAGAAGACGCGGTCTATCTGTACCAACATCGCCTATCAGATTGGAGTGAAGCTAGGCGGCGAGCTCTGGCAAGTTGACCTACCCACTCCCGCACGAAGCACCATGGTCGTGGGGATAGACGTGTTCCATGACTGCGCCGACCAGGCCAAGAAACTCTCCCGGGTTGGCTTCGTGGCCACGACTAACGCCACGTGGACGAGGTATTACTCGGCCACGGAGAGGCAGGGGCAGGGGGAGGAGGTGATACCGAGCATCGGGAAACTGTTCTACGCCGCCCTGAAGAGATGGTACGGCATGAACGAACAGAGGCTGCCTGGCCGAATCCTCGTCTTCAGAGACGGAGTTGGAGACTCTCAGATGACCATGGTGAAGGAAATGGAGATCAGTAAGTACAGGCTGGTGTGGGGGATATTTCAATTTTGCTCCCACCAAGTCAGTAGATGTGTTTGAACAAGACGTTTGACTCTGTGAAATGCCATTTACTAAGTACAAGATTTGATGAATACTAGTAGACAAACCAATGAATGTATGAATGTCGCTCTGTGTATCAACGCTGGTTTCAACATTCATAGACATGTTTGCAGATCGCTTTTATGTACATATTCTACATCTCTTTATGACATTTATTTGATTTCATTCTTCTTGTGAAATGTGTTCCTTGTCAGGTCAGCTGAAGATGGCTGCAGACATCTTCATCAATGATATGGTTAACAGTGGTGAGACTGATGTCAAGATGCCAAAGTTCACGGTCATTGGTATGGACAAAATCACCTCATGTCTTTACAACCTTTAGGTTTCTTTTGCGTATTTGTCCATATGTAATGTGTCGTTATTGTTGCTGTCAATTTGTCGTATATTTGACGAATCTCTGTTACCAGCACAGTTAACACTAAAGTTAACTATACTGTGTCCTGTTCTGTTTTGTTCTCCCTAGTTTGCAAGAAAAGAATCAGTGCGCGGTTTTTCATGGCCGACAAGGGCGGATACCTGTCCAACCCAACTCCTGGCACCACAATCTCCGCATCCGTCACTCGAATGTACGAGGACGAATCATGGAGCAACTTCTACCTAGTGTCCCAGTCTGTGCGGCAGGGAACGGTTGGCCCCACCCACTACGTGGTCATTGAGAACGAGCCTACCAGTGAGGGGAAGACGATACCTGTGCAGATGTTGCAAAAGATCACTTACAAGTTGACGCACCTGTACTTCAACTGGCCCGGAACCATCAGGGTGCCGGCGCCCGTCCAATATGCACACAAGCTGGCTTTCCTGGCAGGGCAGCATCTACACAGGGACCTGCGATACGATCACCAGCTGGCTGATCTGCTGTTCTTCCTGTGAACACAGTACATTGCCATGGCAACAGGATGGAACATAGATTAATGCAAATGTTACAAAGTAGATGTACTTTGTGTAACACAGAGTACTAAACAACATTCATACATCTACCCCTATTCCCAGGTGCTGAACAACAGTCTCACATATAGCTCTGTCCCTGAACAACATTCACACATCCTTCCCTATCCCTGAACATTCACGCATCCATCCCTGTCCTTGGTGCTGAATAACATTCACACATCCATTCCTCTCCTTGGTGCTGAACAACATTCACACATCCATCCCTCTCCTTGGTGCTGAACAACATTCACACATCCATCCCTCTCCTTGGTGCTAAACAACATTCACACACTATCCCTGTCCCTGAAAAACCATTGCATATCTATCCCTGTTATCAGTAAGGTTCTCTCCTCTTACATAACATACTCGATTGCACTTTCATAGATAACATTTGCCAGGAGTTATGCAACTCCTGGCAAATGTTATCTATGAAAGTGTAGGAGTAGGACCAACCATAGCCTTCTATAGGATATAGTTCTGACATAGTTCTAGTTATGAATTTTTAACAGTGTAATGTTGTCATTGTAAACTGTAAATGTAATATGTAGACTATTGCTAGCAATTCTTAAGATATACTATATGCTGAAGATAGTAGCCTTGATCTGTCATACTATATCTTGTCCCTTGCGGCATGATTCATCTATTTGTGAGATGATTTCTTCTTGTTACTATCAATATCAATGTGCAACCTTCCTGTTTATCCATTCTGCTCTTCATTCTTAGTGCCATTTCATTGGTGCCATTTAAAAAGATTAAAGATAACAGCTACTTGCACATGCAATGTTGTTTATTTTTTCAAGTCAAAAGCATGCCATTCATATTTTAGGTTGCCCCAGTTTTAATGCCCCAATTTCTGTATATGGCTGTGTTTCTAAACAAAACACCAGGTTTATGCCAAGATGGATTCATTTTGTCCTCCTGGACGTTATACCCTGCAAGTGTCCAATATCAGATAGATGTAGATGTCATTCACTCAGTATGCTAATACATGATGCACTTTTGTGAACATATGTATTTCCAACAAACATTCATCCAACATTTCAAAAGAACTGTTTTCCTTAATCTAAAACTATCTTTTCTAATAGAGCTTTCTAGATTCTATCCCAATTTTCTCACCCTATAAAACTGCATCAGGAAGTTCCCCAAAGGACCAGGGTAGCAGAAGAGTTGGTGATCAGCTTGACCTAAGTGTGCACAAACAATGCTGGATTTTATTATCTTATTCACATGTGATTTTTTTATTTTTTATAATTGAGCAAAAAAGCAGGATGCTTCAAGACCTAAAAAAAAACATACAAAGATAGATAATTACATTGAGAAGGAACAGAGTTCCACATATATTAAATATAAGAAAAGGGTGACCTTGTCATTAGTATTGTTGACTGCATTGACTTACATACTTACTGTTCAAACCTGTACAAAACCACTTGGGCTGCTAGCAGCATGCAGACTCTGTATAGCCTTCAAAAATGATAGGACTAAAATGATAACAAAATTCACCACAACAAGAAACATGGATGACCAATCAGATACTAGTAGAAGTCGTTTAACTGTTGTTATGGTGTAACTTGTTAGTTGTTGTAAGGAGTGTTGGCGTAGAAAATGCACCGAGGGTATTTCCAAGGAATGGTTCAAATGCTGCACTTACCCAAGATGAGGTTCAGTTGTAGAATTTCAGTCTTGGTGGAGCTTCAGCGCTAGAACAAGACCGCTCAACACTGGAATTCCTGTGCTGCACTTCCTTCCGCCATTTTCTCCCTAAGTTCTGCACTGGGCGCCTAGTTCGGAACCCGTACTTCGGTACCTTAGCTATTTAATTTTGACACTTCTGGAAGTAATATCACCCGGCGTTTGCCCGGTTACTTCTATAAGACTTAACTAATCACCTGCCCTTTCGCTAAAGACAGCGACATGGTTCCAAGTTTCTTCTTTTTCAACTCTCCACGGTACAAAAGCGCCAGTATCAGTCAGCGGAATGATTCAGAACTGCAACGGACGGTCATGTTGATGCTGGTTGGTCCGCTGAAATACGTAACGTTACATTGACAAATCAGCGTAGACTGACGTTTGCTCTGCGGGAATCCCCTACAATTGTGATTGGCTACTATTGACCAATGAGTACGTCCAATATAATTCGAAACATCGCCAATATATTTCTACTGTCTATTTGGATTGGTTCCTTCTTCTAGCCAATCAGCATTCATTGTTCCATCATACCAAACTTTGCTATATGTTGATTGGCCAGTATAACATTAATTGACCAATCATTGACGCTTACCTAAATCTGCTGCATTTATATCACTGACTGCTAAAAGTCGCTTCTAATCCGCATGGTGTCTCGTTTGACACGCAGCGGAGAATATTCCACTTTCTTCAACAAAACATTCATTTGGCACACCATAACAACATTTCACTGTCGTTCAAGAAAAAAGATCAATAACACCGATGGGCTTTTATAATTTTTTATTTCCAATCCAAACATCAATAATGCATGGATACGAAAACACTACAAGATCAGTATACAACTAACAAGAACAGCATCCATATTGCTGAAGTGAAAACTGCAGTTGAAAATATGATATTTTGTAAATTATTACGGAATAGTTTGGGTTGTATGCCTGGCACGAGTAAACTGTTGAATGTTCCTAATTGTCCAGCACTTTTTTGAGGACGTTATACATGTCACGTCTGCTCTATGTTTTTAGGTGACATAATGACTGAAGTATGTGCTTCAAGGTCTTATTTCTACGCCCATACTTTCTGGCTTCCATGGAGGCAAAATGTTGGTTAATCAGCAACACTACAAATCACAAAACTGCTCATATAACAGTCATATTATATAGTCTAGTATTTTGAATATAACATACACCAAAACGAATTTCTATAATTACCTTCAGAGTCAATATGGAATGCATTATGTACAAGCATACAGAAATTCACTTTACACAACTTGCCAAAACTTTACGTGTTGTACCACATTTTTTTCCAGATGTACTCCTTCAACATTCTCAAATTACCCAAAATCTTCTGAGGTGAAAAAAAAAAACACACAAACCATTTACAACAGGGCTCTAGTCTTCACCCCAACCAAGGAAGAGAAAACTTTTAAGCTTGTCTAGTAAGCTGCTTGCAGACAATTTTTTTCACATGAATCTCAGAGTGACGGACTTTACAAGCAGTGCAATACCATTCATTCTATTTCAGAAAGCTGTTACAAATGGATGAAAAACCTAGCACGTGCTTCATACTTCAGGCAAAAGCAAACAGTTTTCTACATCAAGTACAATCACTGAGCTTGCATTGGTTGCATTGGCGAGTGAAATTTAAGAAACGTACACTGCACACAGCGAAGAAATCTCGAACAAACACCGAGTGAATTCGAATGTAAAACAGGTGCTCTCTTGGATATACATGTATTTCAACAGAAATAATCAAGAACCACAAACAAACACATATTCAAAAGATGTACAACTGTTTCAGCAATCACAGATAAGCAATTTTTTTCTCTATTCCAGTTAAAACTCCTTTAGTACAGCTGAACTAGCCTGATAGAATATTCTTTGGCAGCAAAGTCAAGAGATCACATTACAGTCATACATGTAGTATCATCATCCAACACCTAAGATTAGTTAACTACACTCCTGAACTTCATCACCATTGCAATAAAAAATTTTAAAAAACTTTTTGGAGCACTTTCATGAGTTTTTAAAAGAAAGCTGAAACAAATTCTTCTTTAAAAATCCTAAATTTGTCGAAATTTCAACTTTGCTACCACTGGCACATGCCAACCTTAGGTATTGAATGACTATGTTACAAATTTTACTTCTGGAAAGTCACTAATTACATTAAACTATATCTTTCACTTCTACAGTGTTTACATCCCTACAGTATAATATGTAGACTGAGAACATAACTGCCAACACACTCAACAACAGAGACCACCAGTCCTGGACAGTAAAGATAGTGGATTTCTTCTCTGTATTGTGGCTATGATAGCATGACAGTTACTGCACTTTTTAAATGTATTAGAGGTTGATAGATTCTTTATGTTGGTGAGGTAAGGAATGTTTTAACACTACAGCATTTTTGCCCTGTTCATCTGTATGGCGATAGTTCGAGCAAACTATCAAAGGTATGGAGGATGGGGGTGTGAATTTTGTCACCAATGCAGAGAAAGAAGTCCAAAGCCTTTGACTGTTGCCTCTGTGTAAAACCCCTCCCCTCCCTACAGTCAAGGCACACAAGTTACAAGACATGGTTTCCTTGGTCAGTTGAGGCCACGTAAACGAGCGCATTTCCACCTGTCAGCCAATCAGAAGGAGCCTTCTAACTGATGTGCCTCAACTGCGGCGTTCTACTTTTTGCTCATCATGTTGTTGATGAGGTCGATGGGGAGGGGGAAGATGATGGTGGAGTTCTTCTCGGCGGAGATGCTGGTCAGGGTCTGCAGGTAACGCAGCTGCAGGGCCGAGGGCGACATGGCGATCACGTCAGCGGCCTCCTTCAGGGCGCGGGAAGCGTTCATCTCACCCTCAGCAGCGATGACCTGGAGAGAAGGTTGAAATTTACCACAATTAGCGAGGACCGTTCAGACCTCAAAATACAGCTTAGTGTAGGTAAAATTGGAGCTGTGCATCTTCTTACAGCCAAATCATCATAGAGAAATCTTCCACTTTTTACCTTGACTAACAGGAACTTGACATTCAGTGACTACAGATTGACAGTGAAAGTTTACAGACAGCGTCTGCGTGTGAGAACTGTGCTTACCTTAGCACGAGCCTCACGAGCAGCCTCAGCCTCGGCAGCCATGGCGCGCTGCAGCTGAACAGGCAGACGCACGTCCTTGCTGTAAATAGGGAAAATACACATTTAACAAGACCATGAGTAACCGTCGACATGAGCAACTTTGTAGGGCTGGAAAAATAAGACATTTTAGACTCGTACACATTTACATGGCATATAAATACCGGTTAACACAAATTCACAAATTCAAACCACCAGGGCTTTACAGGTTCAGATATTAACAGTTTTCCTGCAAAACCAATGTTCTACAAGAGCCAAAAGGATATTGAGTAGGAATCACACTCACATTTCCACACGCTCCACCTTGATGCCCCAGGGGTCAGTGGCCTCATCCAGTTGGGACTACAGAAGGAATGGAGAAAAAGCGAACCTTAAGATGGACAGACATACATTGTACAAGATTTTATGTTTTCTGCTGTAAAGCTATGGGTTTCCACTTCTGGTCCCCAAAAGAACTTAACTGTATCAGATGGCTGTTGTATTACGACATGTAGGTTGCTTCAGTGCAGGTACAGGTATGCAGATAAAAGTATTTCCAGCCCTGTCCTTGCTGGGCACAGAGTGAGACATACCTGCATGGTGTGGCTGATGTTCTCGCGGTCCGACAGGATCTCGGTCAGGTTCTTGGTGCCCAGGATGTTCCGCAGGGTGGTCTGGGCCAGCAGGCGGGTCGACTGGTTGGCGTTCTCCACGTTGGCGACCGAGATGGTGGCGTTGCTGACGCGGAAGTACACCACGGCGTCCACCGAGACCGTCACGCTGTCCTTGGTCAGGATCTACGGCACAACACAATCCATCCAAAACGTCTTTCTTTTGGCAACATCACCTCTTTACTGTAGTCAAAACACACTCTGCTCTGATTCAAGAATTCTCATTATTTGTCTGATTTTGTCTTTTGCATTTTCTCATTTTATAGGCCTCTTACCCTACTCTTTTTACATGATGTTATCGTACAACATTTCCATGTAACACAATGTAAAAAGAGGTATGACAAGAGGTTTTGATATCGAGAAAATACTCAAATATTAAGAGACAAAATAAGGAGAATTGAATTCTCGAATTTGGGCAGATCATGTTTAATTACCTTAAACTAGTTAAAGCAGTGTGGCCACCAAGGGTGCAGTGCAATTATGGTGTTGTGCATTTGCTGTTAGTTTCAAATTTAAGTGTCTTGTTTTTGTCATCTATTTTTAATACTGCAACAACAAAATACTTGAAATAAAGAATGCCTGGAACATGCTTTTGATGTAGATAACTGTGGTAGTGTCAGTGTTAGTATACTGAGACATGCACTGTGTTTCTCAAATAATGATGAGAATTTTACATGCTGAATTCAACTCATACCAGAGAAAACTGTGAAAGAAAGATGGAGAGAAAGAAATCAGAGTAGCAAAGAGCCAGCCAGCCATGCGTTAGTAGTGTGTCTGTTTAGCCTGGAATCCATCCTATTCCATCCAGTTCACTCCGACCATTTCAATATTCAAGCAATAATGGTCCTCACTTCCCATGTTATTTTAGAAATATTTCTCAGATGCAGTGTACCAGGATCAAACTTCAGAATGCCTGATAGAACTCTGTCACCATGCCATTTTGAGGACCATGTGACTTGTAGCCAATTGGAACTCTTGGCTGTGCATTTTGTATTTCATGCAAATTTTCAAATGCAAATCTTTCTTTATTGACAGGTGCCAGACTGTTTTGCAGAGAAGTGACCAGAGGAGTTAACAGGAGCTAGAATATGACAGATACATTATGTGCCAGGCTTTCTATGTTAGGGTGGCATGTATCTCCCCAAAAGACATTCAAAAACCTTAAACCCATTACGGTGATTAGAAATTGTAACTGACCTAAAGAAAGAGAAAAATTCAATCAGAAAGACAGAGAAACCATCGGCATTTTCTTGTCCACAATTTGCCTTCATACAGTCAAGAAAGGAACCCTGCATACACGTGTCATATTTCTCTTTGAGTTTGTTCTCTTTTTTTGTTGTTATATATAAAATTGAAATTCTAGGTTATTGACTGTCTCATGAAAAAGAGTTCAGTTGGGGATCTGCAGTACCAGCCAGAGAAGACAGGTGGTGTTGCTACAAACTTGATGTACCTCTTGTGGAGGCACATTAAACGATAGGGTACGCAGGTCCACCTTTTTGTAGTCATCAGTACAAGGCAGTATGAAGAAAATGCCTGTCAAGAGCAACAAGAAAGCAAACATACAGTTGAGTTGATGGCATGCGTGATAACATTGACATAAACGGTACAACAAAACAAACCAGCATGCACTTTTGGGACCTTGCCATATGATCGAAACACTTTTAAAAAATGAATTCATTTTCTTAGAAAAATCAGATGACTTCAGAATGGCATGTAATCCAAAACATGAGAAAAAGAATCCTAGTTTGCTGTAAAGTAGAATCAAGCTGCTACCTCAACATACACATTATACCTCAGTGTATGGTATGCTTTCTTGTCATTCTACCTTTCTTCACACAACCTTGCACTGATGCCCGGCCGATTTGATTGCCCACTACATTTTTTTGTACTGTGTACACACGACAACATCTAATTTCTAACAAAATCAGGGTCCTTTTGGGAGAAGTAGGGTACCAGCAAGACGAGAAGACAGTCTTGAGATACTACCTCTTGCGGGGGAACGTCAAACGATATGGTACGCAGGTCCACCTTTTTGTAGTCGTCAGTACAAGGCAGTATGAAGAAAATGCCTGTCAAGAGCAACAAGAAAGCAAAACATACACAGAGGTGAGTACGTGCATAAAAAGGATAGCAGCAAGATGCTCCTCACAACAAACCAGGGGGCACTTTTTCTGTGGCATCTCAGTTAAGTGCTTTGAAGAAGCCATCTGTTTTTCTCATTATTTTCCGTGTACCAAACACAAAATGATAACAGTTGTAAATTAAGAAACAGTTTGGCACAAAGTTTTCGAAGCTGGAAGTGTGTGTTGGCCACAACTTGTGCTGCTGACTTGTCATTTGTTGTATCATTCATACCATTTCACCGTGAACACTGTATAGGGCAGTCTGTAACAGAAGAAAAGTGGAACAATTGCCTTGGGCAAAAATTTGTATTATCCAAACAGGATGAAACTTAGTGGAACAGAAAGCTGTCTTAGAGGTTAATTTTGCCAGTTCCACTTCTCTTGATATACAGTCCGCCCTAAAGTGTCGGTGGCTGCAGTTGGTCGCATTATGGTACCTCTTGGGGCGGAACGTCAAAGGCTTGGGTTCGGAGATCAACTTTGCGGTATTCGTCAGTGCACGGCAACACGAAAAAGATCCCTTGGGAAGGAAACAAGCAAGTGAGGAGGATTTTCATACAAGTTCAATTTTTAAGTTCAACGACCTCATGTTGCAGAAACTGTGTCTCTACAACAGACTGCAACCCTTATACCAGTAACACAAACATCATTGTTCAAAATAATAACAGATAGAAACACCCTACCTTGTGGTACAGTTATGGGATTGCCAACTACTACATCATTGTAAGCTACTTCCCTTAAACAACACACCTTTTAATATAAATGTATTCACAATATGGACACATGTATATTCATATACATGTATAGCTATAAAATTACTCATGTACATGTAAAATAATATCAGCTAAGCAAAATCTAATAACGTTGAACATATTGTCAGTCGAAAACCAATGAAAGATCTGAGCTTCCTTTCTTCCTACTATTGTAGATTAATATATATTCCATTTCTCAAGACACAGTGAAGATGCCTAAGGAAAGACGAGCATGTTTCCTGCTGTATTGAAGAAGTCTTACCTGGTCCCTTGGCTCCCCCAGGCAGCAGCCGGCCCAGTCGGAATATGACGGCTCGCTCATACTCCTGCACAACCTGCAAACAGTCCATTTCAAAGTACATAATTCATCAACAGTTACAAATACATGTATATAATTATGAACAAAAAATATGTAATATTTAGTAATGATTTAATTGCCAATCTATGCCCCTGGGCTACTCATAATCAAACAATGGTATAGGACTCCAGAGGTAAGATTAAATTACAGCTGAAGAGAAAAATGAAATACAAAGATAAGTAAAAGTAATTCTATTCTTTTATAATATTTGTAGTTGTAACTTGTAGTTTAAGATATAATTGAGCAAGTTGATTTCTTTTCATCCTTAGTTTTAACAATCCATAGCAATAAAATATACAGGGCAAGAAGCTATTAATTCATAGTTTGAAGTGTGCATGTGCCGTGTGATGCGTTGTGGGTACTAATGTATCAAAGTTAAAGAATTACCCTAGCCATTATATAGTACAAAGAATGGCCAGACACCTCCAACTTTGACATATCACCCACAAGGCATCACACAATGAACTAGCTTGTTACTGTTACTGCTTCCAATTATGTGCTGTGATTTCATCCACTCGATACAATTAACAACAAATGATTCAAACCCCTTGTAATTGGCTTGGCAAGGGTTTTGTTGTTAGGCCACACCAATTTGATTTGTTGGCTCTCAGATTTTTGCAGAAAATCAATTAAGCAAGTAGGACGGCCAAAAAAAAAAGAACTGGCCTTGCATAGTAGCAAAATAGTCAACATACTGGACCATAACTTTAGTTTATATTCAAGAAAGGAATTTTGAACTTTTATTAGTTTTAATCAAATCATTGCATTGACAAAAAGGAGGAAAAAAAACAGAAAACAGAAAACAACTGCATGAGTAGGAAGACAAAGACTTTCTTCAACTGTTCGTGCCAAAAATATGAGCATTTGATGAGGAACCTAAGTTTTTGCACATCATGAAAAAAAACTTGTAAAGCAGACAAATATGAATGGGATGAAGCCAACAATTCCAAGAACCAACGAATCAAATTGTAGTGGCCTTAACTGCCTTGAAAGATTGGCAGATTTGCACACAGTCTGTACCTTTATACAGATGCAGAGAGCGATGGGGAAGGTACACAGCACTATGATGTAGGAAATGATAGTCAGGATCCACCCACAGCAGCCAAGACCAACATCCTCCTCATACGCTATAGAAAAAAAAATGAGGTGACGTTACAATCAACTACCTTTATGCAGATGCAGAGAGCAATGGGGAAGGTACACAGCACTATGATGTAGGAAATGATGGTCAGAACCCAGCCGCAACAGCCAAGACCAACATCCTCATCGTACGCTACATAAGAACATACAACAATGATTACAACAGCTGTAAAATACACAAATGTGAGATACCAGTTGTGCAAATAATGCCTGTGTACATGAGACATACAAAAACCGTCATACATAGCTACATGTATGTATCGCTAATAAAATCTTACATAAAATTAGCACAATACATTTAGCATTTCAAGTGATATCTAACATGAAAATACACTTATCTGCCAAATACAAGACAATCATGTCACACACTTGCCACAATCACAACACATTCACATACACCGTTACATACGATACTATATAACTACATAGAAATATCGTAAATTTGGGCTCTGCTTTCCTGGAGCTTTTAATTGTACACCCTCATGTTGCATTCTAACAAGTTTAGCTAGACAGGGATAGTTTTCATACATACAGCAGCTATTATTATAATTTTTTTAAATTTATAATCCTTAGAATGTACATGTAATCTTTGAATATGTTATCAATATTGACAAGATCCTGTCAACCAATGGCACATACTGGCACAAAGCCAACAAATACATTTTACACCAAAACATGCGAGCACTGCATTTAGTACCAAAAAGCCAGCAGCTATCAGCACTTATTGACATTAAACACTTGCAGTACACAATAAAGCAGACATAGAAAACCCACCTGCAAAAAAACATGGGAAGTAAATGTTAAACGTTATAGCTGACTTCTGGGCGGCCATCCTGTGCGAATGCAGCATTTTTCCTGCCACGACAACTAAGTAACAAATGTGTGGAAACCGAGCACTGGGGAGAAGCTAATGAACCACCGCACATGACTTATAGTACCCAATGTTACGGCTGCTTGGTACGACCCGTACACAATGTATATGACTCTTTGGATCTTATTGAATCAGGCAACTCCCCGGGCAATCTCACAGCAAAGCAACATGATGCGTATGATAAATGCACTCTCCACAGGTCATATAATTTATGCTTTCATCAGCCAACCCTAGCCTGTTACTGTGCTTAGATCTGAACACAGCTCCCCATAAATACATCCTGGTTTAAGGTGCCTTGATTAGAAATATCATTCATAGCTGTCGGAGATTTTGAGGACAAAGCAAAAACTCACTTGAGCTACTCTTGGCACTGTCCCCAAGGAATGTGGGCATGGTCTGCCGAGCAAATGAAGTTTGCAGCGCAGTACGTACGATTTATTCTACAATGTAACGTGAGGAACATATAGAGGTAATGGAAAAATGTATGTTCAGTGCCAACAAAATCTTATTGGAAAAACGGATGTGTTACACTACACCTTTATGCAGTGTACGTATAGCTTTTTTCCAGTCTTGTCACTGAGCTACTTCAGCAGCAGATAAAACAACCAAACACATAGATACACACTTACATATCATGATTTAACACATTGAGGCTTGACTTCTACTTTATTTATTTATCGGTTTGGCTGTTCAAGCCTCACAGCTAGGGAAGCCCAACTTATTAAGCCAGTGGCTATTACAAAGGGCTTGCCCTGCTGACAAGACATGACAAAACATTAACAATCTACAAAACTATTACATTATTCTATGTAAAGAAAAACTTTTTACAAAAGAACTCAATCAGTGAAGGGTTCCATGTGGAGAGGTCATGGTCAGTGTGAATCATACAATTTATACTGACCTCCGACCTCTCCCTCTCTGGTTTGAGTTGCATTATCATTTTGTTTAATCAAGAGATTTTGTTGATAATTTGCTTCATAGTTGACTACATCAACTGATTATTAATTTGATTTTGAACTTAAGTTACCTTATGTTACTTAATTATGTTACTTTTATAATGTCAATGATCACTCTGACTCGAACTCGGTTTATGTTACTTAATTATGTTGATTATTTTAAATTATTCAATTTATGTTAATATTGAGTTGAATTCTGTACATTTCTGTTGTTATAATTTTGAATTTTATGTGGACTCCAGGAAGAATAGTGGTCAGTTGAACACTAATGGAGATCTAATAAAAACAAACAAACAAACAAATCAATAACTTGCATACATTTGGATTATACAATGTATTTCATAAACAGGTGTATGTTTAACTCTGCCAATCTTCTGACTTTGCCGCTCACAATCACTGAAAGCATGGTCCGGACTCGGCTAATATAATATTAATAAGCTACAGCGAGATGTTCAATTTCCCAGTGGCCGGCCCAGACAACACTAATCAATGGACGGCAGGACAAGGGTGGTAAATCTCACGTTCAGCACGCGTCACGGCATCAGGTGGGCCCAGCTAAGGCCTTAATTGATAATTACTATTTGATACAGTTGAGCTTCCCGCTTGTTGGGGGTCTAAATAAGGGAGGGAAATACTGCTGTATATATTCTGGAAATCAGGAAAATCTGATACAACTTTAAAGTCAAATACAATTTTGTACTTCTTCTCTACCATTAAAAAGTTATGATAAAAAAAGGTTTTCATACATTGTAATTATGAAGCATGTCCTTTTAAATGATATTGTAATCCAGTCACATTAAAAAAAACAGGTGGTTTTATCAACTATCCTATTGCAATTCATAAAACTCCCCAAATTTCAACAGTAGTAGTTAGTACCATAAAAATATTATTGTAAAAAACTTACAAACTTAATAAAAGATAAAAGATAAGCAACTGTTGCTATTGCCATGTGCATTCATATTTTCATGCAATATTTCATACATGGCAATAATTTGCATGTACATGAAAATTCCTGGGGAATAGGTAAAACATGAATTACAAATTGTATATAACAATGTTTTGATCATTTTATGATTAACCTGATAAGATGCCTGATGATCTAAACATTATGTTTACATGTACATGTACAAGTATGGACTAACTGCTTTCAAGAAAGGAAATCCTGAGATAAAGCTATTATCAACACCGAGTTCAACATTGGCATAAAAGAAACGAATCCTTTACCAAATTCTGAGTCCACTTCCAAAGCCTGATGTTTTGGCCTCCACTGTAGCTGTCTCATCTCCACAGACAATGAGTTGCACATCCCCAGTACATGTACACCTCCTGTATCCTCCATCCTCCTACTCATTCTAATCTTTATATCTCCCCAGAACTCCCGATCTTCACACACGATACGACCAACTCACCCACACACACCATAACTCACTCTGTCCTACCATTGATTTGTTGGTTAAGGTCTGGACATGCATCTGTGATTCCTTTAGTTGAGAAGAACGGACATGGAAGTATGTCCATGCACGTACAGGATACCCGCTCAAAAGGTTAATTACAACTGACACTTCTTAGCGGTGCTTAACAAATGATTTTGGGGCAAACCGCCAATCATGTTTAACACTGTATAAGATTGTTAATTTGTAGTCCTGAATACAGAAATACAGAACTGCTTGTTTTTTCTTTTTGGTATTAAATTTTCATTTGTCATGATTTCTAAATGTAATTGCTGTTGGTATAGTCTCTTCTTGGCTTAATGTATAGAGCTCAACACAATTCATCAAAACATGATATCTATCCCCAGAAGCGTCAAGCTTGATATGACAAGACGACGCCTATGTGCCCCTGGGGTCCTATCTTCAATATGTCAGCAAAAACCTTCCACACATCATTGATAATTACTGTGAATTAGAATCATCCCTATCCGGCTAAAAGATGATTAAAGGATAAATCAAATAAACATATAAAAAAACTGACATGGAAATCACCAGCATAACCTGCACAATGATTAAAAAGATGTTTTCGTAGTCCTAATCTTGTTTGCCTCCATCAGAAGTGTGTATGATGTATTTGTATGTTGTTGGCATCTGAGGGCACTTTGTGCTTCAATTTGTGCAAATCGAATCAAGATACAGAAAACTGAAATGGCTGAGTGGATATCTCCAGTATAAACTCATAAAACGGGCTTCGTGTTCCTTTCTATGAGCTATAAAGAAGTGTGTAATCTTGTTTGGTTGTCAGAAATGGGTGTATGATGTATTTGGGAGTTGTTGGCATGTGAGGGCATGTTGTAGGTTTGAGGGATGGACATGACCTTCAGGCACTGCGTTTCCATTACAGAGTACTCCACACTGACCTCAGGTGACCAGTGTCACTCATCATACCTGTGGCATTATGACAAGGTGGGGCTACTGCAGGGGCAGGTGGAGTAAGGCATCTTTTTTTACATTTACTTATTTTCCTAGATCAAATACCAACAAAACTTCTGAGGTCAATAAACTATATAATCTTAAGAATAGTGATCCTTTTTGTTTTTAGCTTTTCTAAAAATCTATCAAAAGGTGAACTAAAGGATTTTGAATGGAACAAAAACAGTAACGCTGCACCAGCTTACATGTACGCGTGTTTGTATATAGACAGCTTCAATGATAGTACATGTAATTCAAAATACTGTTAACAGATGTAGTAATTTCTTGCAAATGGCAATACACATTATGCACCATTTGTGGTAAACATATTAATTACCAAAGAAATTCTTTCAGAGTGCTAATTCAAAACCCTTCACATCCTCTTGACCTCTCTTTAATCCTTGCCTGAAGCTGCAGATCAAATTTTTATAGATGTATATTTCTATCATCTGAGAACTCCTCCATCTTTGGAGCACCAACTGAAGCTGTGCTGATGTAAAAGGCCAAAGGTGCTTGCCAACCATCTCAGCACATCAGTCTGGTCATTTTTCAGAACCCAGGAAAGCATTGCTGGCATCGATTTTATTCATAATATCAGTGTTATTTTACACATAAAATCAGTATTATTTTACGAATGAAATCAATGTCATTTTGCACATAAAATCTGTTTTAATCCAAATAAAGATAATAAAAATTTACAATCCAAATCCAAAAAATCCACATCAAATCCCTAAGAAAGTGCCAAAGTGACATTGGATAATATAGAGTTTGGTAGTTGGTACTGTCCTTGGTGCTGAACAGATGCTCTACCATCATAGCATCACCGTCTACAGAATAATACATGTACCGTGCCAGTATCATTCTACTACGGTTTTAAACAGTATGTTTTGACAAGAGCTTTCAT